CCCGGCACTTTTATTAGCGGCGAGCTGACACCCCTAATACATCGGGTCGGGACCATCCAAAGTGCTGAAGCATTCGAAGTGATGCATCCCTCATGCATTCCTCTTGGCCAGCTGGCAAAACATGGGCCCTTTCCGATACTGCCTGACTTCAGGGTGTGCCAACCAGCCCACCGGCAACTCTGTCACCGCCCAGGTGCCACCCCGTAGACTGCAGAGAGCAAGACCGGGGAGTTACTGGAGCTTTATGCATTCCAATCAGCCTGCTGTTAAAGGGGCCGGGGCACACCCACCCCGGCTAAAACTCTGCCGCCGCCCGTTGCCGGGGCCGATGAGACCGCCGTACCGGCTAAAATCACCTTTCTCAACGCCGGGGACCTGCACGTGGGCGGGAGGTTCCAACCAACGCCTCTCGTTGTCGCCAGCTTACTGCAGAGGCACGCAGCAGCCGCTACAAGGCTGCCTTAGCCCGAGCGAGCTCGCCCCGTGCCGCCAAAATCCGCTTCCTTCCGCCACCGGGAGAACCACGTTTTGGGGCCCAGAAAGGGTAGCCAATCAAGGTAGCCCTAGCTCTAGCCTAGCCCATCTTTTCCGGATACCTGTGAACAAAGCGCCCCCCTCCCCTCCCGTCCCACCGAATCTGCGATTTCGTAGCAGTAATTTTCTACTAAAATCAAATCAAAAGAAACGAGACATTAAACTGTTCTGCAGAATTTCTATTTAATACGTGAAAACATCGAACAGGTTGTTTCACAAGACGTTCCAAAGGTCACTTTGGCGAAGTTACCCGATACCCGATGGGCTCTCCCATCATGCAATATTCAGCCACTTGGATATGCAGAAGGTACAGATCAGGGCTGATCATTAAAAAGAAAGATAGACTAATTTCGTACAGTTCGTCCAAGGAAAAATGTTACAAAGTTTTTCTTTAATTTACCAACACGAAATTATAACCAATAATTAGCTGCATGTTTCAATAACCTTAATTGATAAGAAATCCCACAGCAGCAAGATAGCAAGATCACAAACCTTTTGGGGTTTTTATTAGCATGAAAAAATATTTGAGTGTTGAAAAGTCTGCAGAATTGAAAATTCGGCAGAATTGAAAAATCGGCACATTTGAAAAATCGGCACAGTTGAAATCGGCGTATTTGAGAATTGTACAGTTATTCTTTAAATGGTTTTCTCGAATAGGATATTTTTCAAAATTGGTATGGTTCTCTACTCGGATGTTTTTTTGAAAATGATATAGTTTTCTGGAATCGGATAGGCTTTTGAAAATGGTATAGTTTTCTGGAATGGGGTAGTTTAAAAAATTGTATAACTTTCTAAAATCGGTAATATTTTACCCCTTTTAAAAGATGTATCCCATTTTCAAAACATATATGGATTTAATTTTACCCCTTTTAAAAGATGTATCCCATTTTCAAAACATATATGGATTTAATTTTACCCCTTTTAATAGATGTATCCCATTTTCAAAACATATATGGATTTAATTCCCCCCTTTTAAAAATGCATATACAATCGTTTTGACAGTGTTTCTGCTTCGTACTTGCCATATTCGTATGCCGCATTGACTTTAAGAAAACATCGAATCTGAATCAAGCAATATAGGCTGTGTTCATGTGAAGTCAGTGAAGGCGCTTTACATGTGGTTTACCCCGAAGCCGGTTTCAAGTGGCTCCATCTGAACGCTCCAAATCAGATTGAAAGCGCCTCGATCCCAAACCACTTCTAGAGGTGGTTTCGAATCGGTTTTCCCGCATCGCGATTTGCGTCTGAACGCAATGTGATTTCAATGTCACTTCACCTATTAATGGATTACGGGGTGATATTTTTTATTTATATCCAATACCAAATTTTACGTGGCAGCAACTTGAAGAGAAGTAATGGTCAAATAATGTGTCCGTTCTAGGAGGAGCTTCGCCGCCTCTGTCGGGACCACGTCGGCATTCGTGGGAGATACGCTGGGAGGGGGGAACCAGCAAGCAGGTTGTTGACCTCTGACATTGATACATCAAACAACAATGAATGCAATTTCAGAGAATCGTGATCGGGCACGGTTTCAAAGGAATGTGTGGCACGTGGACCAGATGTGAGGAATGCGAGTTACGCGAATCGCGGTTTGGGTGACTTCACATGAACAAGGCTATAGACTGCCACATAACCACCTGGAATACAGCAAAAAAGCATGCATTCACAAAACTAGACTCATCCACATTTAACAATGTCCATCATCTCGTACCCCAGTTCATGCACATGTATGCCTAATCATTTCTTTTATACTAAATGTGCGATTATAACGCATATAAATTTAACAAACAAACAAATCAAACAATATTTTACCAAATGATTATACTGAAAACCAATTCACACACCAATGGATTACGATCGAGAGCTATACATAAGGAAAGGGAAAATAGCCACAAACAGTTTACTTTAGGCCTCGGACACCAGACGATTCCCTGAAAACTCCAACTTACTAGAAATACTGTGGTTAACTGAAACCTACAGTAGCTCCTCGAACACACAACACTTAAATACAGCACGATTATTATATGCGAACGATATTCTTATTACTTTCAACAGCCTAAAGAAGAGGGGAGGGGAGGAAAAATGAATACCAAATAGTATGAATGGACAGATGTTTACAGCTGCCCCTTGTACCATCAAATCAGCTTTTGTACTTTTACCATCCAAAACACGTTACCAAACAATGGCCGGATCACAAGATATGAAAATAAAAATCGGACGTCACATACTACAGGCTGTCTACAAATAACAAATTTATCAGATATTAGTGATATATAGTAGGATCATGATCCAAAAGAAATAATTTCAATCTCAAAACCAATTTCCGTGTCAAAGTTCTAGCTGTCAAACATGTATCAGGGTACCAAACCGCCAGCCGTGCTGGTTTATCTTTATTGGGAAAATCAGCTGTCTCTGAGGGACATCAGACCTAGACATTCCTTGCATGGCCAGTGACCATAAGGTCGTTGACATACATAAAAGACAACACCAGCACAGCCAAATAAAAACCAATTTAAGTTCTATTCCACTTTCCTACAAAACATTACAGTCCAAACTTTACACCACTTTATCTACATCTCAATACCTATAGACAACACAAAAATCTAGACAGTTGCCAAAACAGAACTTGAACTAGAAACAAAGGAACAAACACAAAATGTCTACTACGGGGACATATCAACCCCCACGTATCTAATCTTTGAATAAAATGTCCCCTGTAGTGATAACGGGACCCCCACGAAGCCCGTTAACGAACTTAACATTGGTCTCAACAATAGTAACCTGCCTACCAAAATTTTTAACAATTTAAACATACAAAAGTTATTCTGCTAACAGGCCACAAACAAAGGTCCACTAACGTTACGTACGGACCCCCCACGAAGCCCAAACTTGCACTTGACTTTGACCTCAACAACGGTAATCTGCCTTCCAAAAATCATGGACGTCGAATCATGTCTTCAAAAGTTATACGGCTAAACCCGCAATCACCCACAATACGGCGGGACGATTCCATAGTCTTTCTGGTGAAGACAATTATAAGCCAGCCTGGTATGTTGACGTCATGGCTCCTAAAACAGAATGCCTTTTTTTGCCCCGTCGCTTCATATTTTTTTTAAATATCTGAGAGCCAACAAATTGGTTTGGTCTTAACTTCTGAAAAAAATCCAGCTGAGTACAAAGTTAAGGCTATTAAGGCTATTAATTGTGTTTCCTTCATATAATGCAATTCGGGCTAAGATGTACAAAAATAACACTTAGTATTGGACTTGGTCGGGGACACTTACCTGCCAGAGACACGTTAGAGAGTGGATAAAGTGTATCCGAGCTTATTCCGTGCAGAACAATGCTGCCATACATTATATGCATTATGTATGTATTTTAGGATGGTTATTTTCACCGAAAAAGTATGTTTTGAGTCTTTAGAGGCGCTATTGTTGCTAGCAGTCAGCATGTGGCTATCAGTTTACTGTGCTTATTCGCTTATTCTCAAGGTATGGTGTACGGGAATGTTTTGTAACAAAACACATACTACCTACTTCAATCGTGACAAGAGTAGCTTCGTAGCTGTTATGAATTTCATCCAGCAAGTCTTCGTACTTTGCACGTTTTCTGTCCCCTGCATCAAGGGCACTTTGTTCAAAAGGTATGGTAAGTTCTACAAGAGTCAGCTTTTGTTTGACCGGGTCTTGTATAGTTATGTCTGGGGTATGTGACGTGGGTAGAATGTCAAGTGGAATGCATCAACTGCATCCAAGCTCAAGTCACTCCTGATGGTGACCTGTTGACCGGACTCGGAATACCACTGCCGGAGGGTGGTCACCAGCTCCTTAAGGACGCTGTTGTAACGCCACGTATACCTGGTGTCCTTCAGGGCGACCGGACAGGAGTTCAGGACTGTCTCTGTGTTTGATGACCTCGACATAGAGGGCAGTTAGAGGACAGGACTTTCCACCCACCGAACCAGATGTCACGTGTGGGAAGCCAGTTGACCATACCGCTCAGGACAAACTCAAAGACGCCTCGGGGGCTGTTCAACAAGGAACTTCTCCATTTTGTTTTCGACTGTTCGAGATCTACAAGTTAAATTCAGTTTCCCAGTACGGTAAGAGAGCTGCAGTGATCTTTTTGTCTTCTGACTGACGAAGATGAAATTTTAATTTCCGACGTAAAGTTGCCTTTGTTTGATGGGGCTCCATTTCTATTTTCCTTTCTTGGGCATTCTGGACACTGCAGTAGCTGAAGCGATGACGGCAGCATGTTGTTGGAGATCGATCTGTTCTCCCGAGGTAAGGCCCAGACCCTGGCTGTGGTACAGGCTTCCAAGGTTTGTTGACCTCTTCAGACCCGCCCATTTCTTCACGTATTCAGTGTTGTTATATTACTTGAAAAACTGGTCAAACGAAACTAGAATATAGCATTCAAGAGAATACGTCGCCATGCTATAGCTGAATCAAATATAGGCAGAATATAGAAAGACCAACGTGAACTTAGAAAGCAGATTCCAATAATAAAAATAATCAGTCAGCACAGATTAACAGTAATTCACATTGTACATAATCAATATTTAATAAGGACACGCATATCCCTGAAGAGCGAGGAAGAAGTATTCAATATTTGAAAAAAAATGTTGTTTGGGGCTACCTGGCAGATCAATGTTACTAAAAGTCGTAACAGAGATGACTGCAAGGTTCAAGATGACTTTATTCAGTATTATAAAAAATATCCTAGTAATAATAGTTGTTTTAGAAACAATGATTAGGAATGAATGAATAGGGTACATATAGTGCAGTTCTAAATGTGGTTATATGAATGTAATAATTTTGCTTAAATAATGTAAACCATGCGGTGAATCTTTAAATCATACTTACTAGTTCATTTAAAAACCTTTATCTTTTAAAATTGAGTGAAATACCCATAACGTAGTCTCTTAACCAATCTGACGTTCTTGCCAAGTGCCTCTGTTTTGTCAAATACAGTCAAACCTATGCAAATGACGCCATTTGCATCAGACCAATTTGAACTGGTGCTACAAACATGTTTGATTATATACCTGACGATCGGATAGACTGATTTGATGAAGATTATTTAATCATCCTTGAATGGCACCGGGTTCTGTTGCTGCTGTCCCTCTGTAAGTCCACACTGCCTCAGATGAACTAACACTTCCAGGAACTGGTTGATCCTGAACGGCAGCGTTGCCAACTGAAAAGCGTAGAAATTGAATACATGTTTTTAATAGAATACATGACTGCCTCGTACCAGCCTCATGCATCGTGACTTTCATCCTCACCCGGGGGGAGACCTGGCAAACACCGGCTTGTAAAGATATGTTACCCCGTCTAAAGGGTGGTAAAAGCTATACGGTCGACTGATGATGATGATATATGACTTACTGTGTTTAGCGTACAACAGAATAACACGCTAGATTGAGAAAGGTGACCGGCTTACAAAATCTACGAACAGGAGCTTGTGTGAGTGAGCGTGGGAGTGGAACACATTTTGATCGTCTCAGCGCCATGTTAAGGAGGCGAGGGGAAGTAGGCCAAGTCTACGTATCCAGGTTTCCAGGTGAAGAAAATGATTTGTTTAAGACCTTTCATACCCTGTCATAAATCATAAATTTAACTAGTATCGTTACAAGAAAATGGTGCTTAATGATTTTCGCCTTAATCCTGCCTCATGCCTTAAAAATAAGCTGATAAATATTGTATCCATTACGTAATCCATGAAAGATATTTAGGTATGTTTACTCTAAACATTCGATACTGGTAAGTACAATAAGTTGAATGAAATGAAAATCTGACGAACCTCTTCCACAGCGTTACGCTCCTGAGGCTGGGACTAGTCAATAAAACAAGGTTTGAGGATTTAGAATGATAAAATAACAAAACATAACATTTGAGAGAGCGATGTTAGGTTTCCCAGTCAAATTTTAATCATTATGCTATTTAGTTGTGACTCTATTTTTCTAATTGCTATTTGACGTTTTAAAGCAAGATTTTGGACGGAGAAGTTGAATTCAAAGAAACATACACATTGTGACGGACTGTGAAAAGGCTTTTGATAGGATCAGATGGGATTTTGTCTTAAAATCATTAGAATTCTTTAACTTTGGAAGTTCTTTTCTCAAATGGGTACAAGTACTTTATAGTAATATATCTAGTAAAATCATCAATTATGTAAATTTATCTAAACCTTTTATGCCCCAGAGAGGGGTGCGACAGGGATGCCCCCTATCTCCTTACTTGTTTATTGTTGCATATGAACTCTTAGCCATTAAAATCAGAAGTAACTCTGACATAAAGGGACTCATTACAAATGATATAGAATCCAAATTGGCCCAATATGCAGATGATACTAACTTTACTTTAGAACCCACACCAGTCACATTTAACGCTTTAACTTCAGACTTAAACAATTTTAGCATTCTCTCCGGTCTCACACCTAATTACGATAAGTGTAAGGTAATTAGAGTGGGTTCTCTTAAAGGTACAGACTTTGAGAAACTTTGTCAGTACAGCGTAGAATGGACCGATGGTCCCTTTGATCTGTTAGGGACGCATGTCCCGGTCAACATGGATGAAATCACTTCCATCAATTGCATTAAATGCCTTAAGAAACTAGACTCCACATTGCTCCCGTGGAGAAAAAGATCACTCTCATTGTATGGCAAAATTACAGTTATCAATTCATTGGTCGTCTCGCTTTTTGCACACATATTTCTTGCTTTGCCGTCTCCGGAACACTTTTTTCAACAGTATGAAAAGAAAATATTCAAATTCATTTGGAATAATGGTCCGGAGAGGGCAAAGAGAAAGGTATTGTATAGTTCATATAAATGTGGTGGGTTACAGCTTATCAATCTGTGCGCCTTTGATGCTTCCTTAAAAGCATCATGGGTTCCTAAGCTGTATCATAATACACTCTGGTTTTGTTCAAGACTGTTATCAAACACACATACTGTATTTAGAAAGGGTCTGTTTCCATTTTTACAAATCGGAAATGACAAATTGAAAGTTGTAACTTTTTTGAAGCGAGAGCTCCCAGGTGTAAGTGTATTTTCCTAGATGTATTGTACACGTGGTTATCATTCCAGTTCAACCCTCCTGAGAATGGTTCCCAACCCCATGTTCTATGATATAATTGGCATTTTAAGATTGATGATGAATCGTTCTTATGGAAGGAGATGCTGGACCAGGGAATTCTGTTTGTACATGATATTTTAGACATAATTCCGTGGAAGGAAGTTTTTCTCCTCATTTATAGAATATCAATCGACCCCCCTACCAGAATGTTTCAATTCAAATTAGTACATAAATTTTTAGCAACAAATAGACTATTATACGTTAAGATCTGCATCTACACTACTATATTAAGACCAGTCTTATTATACGGTAGTGAAACCTGGACTCTCTCTCAGAGACTCAAAAGCAAAATTCAAGCTACGGAAATGAGAGTACTGCGCCTAATCTACGGAGTTACCTTAAGGGACAAAGTGAGAAATGATATAATAAGGAGCTCTTTCTCAGTGGAGTCCATTCTGAACATCATAGAAAGAAACCAGCTGAGATGGTTTGGGCATGTACTGAGAATGCCAGAGGGCAGGGATACAAACAGGATATACAACTGGAAACCAAAGAAGAGAAGACCACCTGGCAGGCCAAGAAAGAGATGGGAAGATCAGATCAGAGAGATCACACAGAGAGAGCAGAGGGACTTCGAGGAAGTGAAGAATCTGACTCAAGACAGGGTAGCATGGAGGAACCTGACCCAGAGGCTGACAACTGACAGACCAGAAGGTCTACAGGCGTCCGGGTGAGCAGGTGAGCAGACTATTATACATTTGGAAACTAAAAGAATCTCCACTGTGTGCCTTGTGTGCAGAAGAAGAAGAAACAACAAAACACCTTTTTTTGTGATTGCAGAAAGGTGTTTAAATTTTGGCTGAGTGTTCAGAAATGGTTTAACAAAAAAACTGGACTTTATCTTAATATAGAAAATCCGTTGAACATTCTATTGGGTGATCATCATGAAGCAGTACCAATTATATGCAATCTTATAATATTACTGGGAAAGGTGTATATTTTCAAGAATCGTCATTCCGCAACTATTTCATTGTATAGTTTTGAATCCTTTGTAAATAATTTCAAAGCCACAGAAGAAAGCATCGCACGAAAACAAAACAATATGATCAGTCATTACAAAAAATGGGGAGATTTAGCAAATATATCGACTGGGTAGAATGTTTTTACGTAATTCAGTGTGTGTGTACTCATATGCTATATCGTTTGTCTTTTTGTACGCTCTTTTGTTCTGTTGAATAAAGATTTAAGAAAAATTAAAAAAAAGAAACATACACGTTCCTTAGATATTAAATATTTACACATAACCTCACTCTCTCGTGTTGTATATGCCACTTAAAATTGTTAACTCCACCTAGAAAATTATATTTTAGTGGCTGCGCGTGTGTGTATGTTTTAACAGCATAACTCGAGAAGGCTTTGATGGATTATCTTGATACCTGGATTTGGTAGTTGGGTAGGTCATGACTAGAGCTCGAAATGTTTAGATTTTGGGCCCCCTGGTGGCCTTCTATGGTACTGAAGTGAAACTGGTTATGATATCTCATGATCTGGACATGCTAGGGTTTTGGGTGGTAAATAGCTCTTTTGCTCGAGAAGAAGTAACGTAAATTTGGGTATCCTAGCAGCTGGTTTGGGAACTGCAAGTCGTTTGTTTGAAAATGTCTGAAGTAGGATAACTCAAGAACCGGTTAACGGGTTGTTATTTTTGGTTTGGCTTAAGTGATGCTTGGCAAAATTAAATGACGATTATGCAAATCAGGATCTAATTTACATAATTAATGACGAAATTCTACAAATCTGCGTTATAGGACAATTCAAACGTGCATAAGTAGTGAGAAAATGCTACATGTATACTCTAATATTGGTAAATGTCGGGGATTTTATACTTTCGGCATTTGGAAATCAAATGACCATGAACATCATCAAACATTTACATAATCCATGAGAAACTGCTAGATTAGTTTTCTTTGTTTAGAATGTCAATGGGTGGAGAATATTAACTGTCATTGGGTGGAGAATATAAAAAAGTGATATAATTCACGCAAGTGATCTTATGTGACAATTATGTCGTCAATCATGAAGGTTAACATTATTTGTCGAAGGCCTGATGACGTTTTTGTTCCTTTCGTACCCAAAATGACTTATAATTTGTGTGTATAATAATTTTGATTCAAACCTTACTTACCGGAAATCGATATGCCTTTTCACCAACAAAGAGGATGCTGTCCGGCGGAGAGTCATCCGGTCGGTCGGCAATATCTCGCCTTTTCCTGAATATTGGTAACCCGAATATCTTCCTGACCAATCCTGAAGCTCTACGTTCAGCCATAGACTCTGTCAGTTCATCCGTCTCCAGACTGCGAAGTCTTGCAGCGAGCTTACGAGGCGGATACGGAACAATAGGCAGCCAGGGTTCAGAGTGCAGCGCAGCTGCGGATTGGCTGTCGATAGACATGGCAGCGTCATCATCTGTAAAAAAGGACAGTTTTAGATCGATATCACAGACCTCTTTGAACCTTTGTATGGTTTCTCTTTATAAAAGAGCGTACTATTAGTCCACTTTTGCCTTTATAACCTCAAAGACACAAGCGATATTTCATGATTATATATTGTCTTAAATACTATTGATAAAGGACGTATGGCTTTTTAATCTCAATTATGTAGCTTTTATGTAGTACACTCAGTTTTAATATCTAAGGAGTTTGTACACATGTTAGATTTTTATTGTGATTAGAAGCCAATGGTGTGTTTGTAGCCAAAATTCAGTTTTATTATGTTTACCGAAGGAAACGTATTATATTTGCTCTATTTCCTCTTCTCCAAACACCTAAAAATCGTAGATATTTTCGTAATTAGAGCCTGGAGGAAAATGAAATTCAGCATGCTGGTAGGTTGGTAAGTAAGACACTAAACCGCGGTCATTTTAGCCAACATAGATGTAAAAAAATGATTTTATTAAAAAAAAAGGTGAAAAAAGTTGCATTTTAAGCCAAAAATCGAACAAAAAGAACGCGTTTGGAACATTCGAACAACCATGGAACAATGGAACAGCGTGTTCGAAAACCGCGGGTCAATGACCCTAGCGCTACGCACGGAACACCCGAGCTTTCCAAATATGGGCATCCGCCCTCGTAGGACACGGGAGATTGGTGGACCAATGTCTGTGGTAAGTTTTCCTTTTCCTTCGTAGAAATACGGCCATATGAATACCAGTCTCGAGTACAGAATATTGCATCAGGGTTTTGGGTTCAATATCCACAAGTAGGACTGCAGATTTCCACAGAACGCAGGCGACTTTGTTTAACTTTTTGCATGTCACCGCCGGCTCGAATTAAAAAAAACACTAGTAATTTACTAGCTCCTGACTTGATAGAATCTCGTATGTATAGCAATTTAGGCTTGTCGCCGTTTTGAAACATAAAGTTAACAGAATTGCGTTCATCCGTAACTATTGTCGACTTTGTAATGTAGGTGCGGGGCCGGGGGATGGGGCGTTTGTTTACGTTTATTACTCATGATATAACATGGATACTAGTATAACATTACATTTTGTCGTTTTGTCAGACAGTTTCAATCTTTTTTCGGGATAACACAGTACAGTTCATGGGATAAGCATCAAATCGGGATTCATCGCGATATCCCGCGGGATTTTTTGGGAAATTATATGCATGATGATAACAGTAGCACAAGCAAATAGTGTTTTTAATCCGTCGATGAAGGTTAGACATCCAGGTAATACGATATGCCAAAAAACAGTTACTCAAGCAACTGGATATGATTTTGAAAACGTCAGACGTTTCAGCTAGTATCCACTAGCTTTTGTCAGTGACTGAGAGACCAGAGGGGAAAGCAGGTTTATATACACAACCTGTTGATTGATATGCAAATAAAGTGAAGACAAATTTGGAAGTCGAAAAAGGAACAAAAGACAGACAAGTCAAGACAAGATGATGCAAATTAGTCTGAAAGCTCCTGTTATACAGGACAGGTTATTTACAGACTCAAATGTGAGGAGCCCAATTGTAACAACACCTACATCGGAGAGACAAGTCGACCGCTTAAAGAACAAAGAACATTGCCGACCTAGTGCCAACGGCTACTCCTCAGCTATTTTCCACCACCTACAACACAACCAGGGTCACTCTTTCAAACTCGAGTCCACGGATGTCTTAGACCGCGAAACACGCTGGTGGGAACGGGGTGTTAAAGAGGCAATATATGAAACAACCCCACCCTCAACAGGGAAGGGGGGCTACGGGTCGATCTTTCCGGCACTTGGGATTTGGCACTCCCAGCCCCGAGGACAGACAACACTTAAGCTCCTGTCCTGTATAACAGGAGCTTTCAGACTAATTTGCATCATCTTGTCTTGACTTGTCTGACTTTTGTTCCTTTTTCGACTTCCAAATTTGTCTTCACTTTATTTGCATATCAATCAACAGGTTGTGTATATAAACCTGCTTTCCCCTCTGGTCTCTCAGTCACTGACGAAAGCTAGTGGATACTAGCTGAAACGTCTGACGTTTTCAAAATCATATCCAGTTGCTTGAGTAACTGTTTTTTGGCATAGTGTTTTTAATCAAATGTTTTTTTTTAATATCGAAAATTTTAGTGGCTTAATAATGTTTAGAACGATAACAAAATAATACAACCTTCTTGGTACGAGAATTTCTGTCTGACCTTGCGATGTTGACGGCCCGCTAAGTACTGCTTTTGATGACACCCGACCCGCGCTATCTCAGATATAAAATCTAACACAGCCACTCGAGAAGTTCTTCTCCTAGATAGGTGAGGTCTACGCACGGAGTTGCGGAAGAGAAATTAAACATTATACAAAAGAGGGGGGCGAAGCGTAATTCAAAGGTTCTTTACGCCCTTGGCTTCAACGATCAAGAATTGATACATTTCGTGTTGCTTTGGCTGGGCCACGTTGCCATAGAAACGGCACGTAAGCCGCACAGCTAGCAGACCGCGCGGCGCCCAATCACAGCACACAGACGGGGACCCGCCCACTAGCTGCACTAGACGAAAACCAAGATATCCAGACGTTTCCGGACCTGTACACGTCCCGTGAAACTTGGCGTGCCCGGGTGTGTCCGGGTGTGTGCAGGAAATGTCGGCCACGGCGTGTGCAGGTCTGTGATACCTCCGGACACGCCCGGACACCTGGTAATTAGTCGTGTGTACGGGAATATACGGGCAGGCACACGTCACACGTCGCAAGTACTGCCAAACAATGAGGGGTCACCGTACATGTAGATCGTTTCGCAAATGCGGTGCACATGTGTTTTCAAAGGCTGCGTGAAAGAAGAGCGGGAAAGTCGGTGAATAGAATAAATGTTGTTTGGGGGCCGATGCCTGTTATAAACTCGCCCTCGGCACAGTCTGGTTGACTTTTTGGGCCACGCCAGGCTTATATAAACCAAGGACATTATATAAACTCTGATAAAGAATCTAGAAGGATATATAAAGCTCGGAACAAGAATTTTTTATGAACACGGAGCTTCAACTAGGTTATGATATAACGTCCTTGTTATGAATGTGGTATAAGTGTATCCCAAAGTTTATATTTGTAACTATAACCCTTGCTATGAACAATGAGCAGATTTCTTTGTGTCGTCCATCGTCTCCCCGCATATATTAACGCCTAATTATCCCGGCACCATATTGGATCTACAGTGGTAAAAAAAAACACGATTACTGATCAGAATTTTACCAAACTAGGCTATTGGGAACCTTCGATCTTGACATATTTCACCTTTGCAAACATGGTCGTTTTCGTTGGTGATGTGGGGGTCCGGCTTGGTGTTTTTCAAATATCAGCCCACTTTAGTGTAAAAAATAATTTTTTGGAAGAGACAAAAGATGCACGATTTACTTCTACATTGTTGTCAGATGTGTATTGTGGTGTCATTTTCAGAGACGAGACGGCGCCTATGTCTTATTTACCTTGTTTGTTTTTTACAAGAGACGTTTAACTTCCTTGGTTATATTTAATTTTTTGGAACTTAAAGAACACGAAGTTGAAAACATTACACAGGTAAACTGCAAATTATGTGTTGATGATAACATTCCTATTAGACTATTTTATAGCCTATGTTTTTTTATTAGTGTGCATGCAACTTTTACACAATAGACAAGCGGGACATTTCACAACTCTTTGTATCATTATTCCTGCAGTGACATGTAAACCAGACCAGCCAATTGCATGCATTTCTCTTTGTTGGGGTTTGAAAAGGGGGCCAATCAACGCTCGAGTCATTATTTTTGAAATATTTCCGTTACTTGCCTGGTTGTGGAACGTGCATTATTATACAACTATCCTGGATAAAAGCAACACGCTAGGAACTTAGTGAGAGCATGGAGGTAACGTGGCGGAGCGTGCGTAAATAATCCAGATGTCATTTCAAGGATGCAAAGAAAGGAATTTACAACATTTGTTGGTTTATTGCGCTTGTTTTTTTTATTCATAAGTAACGTGAACATAAATGAAGCATCCCTTTCCAACACGTAACTAAAAACAGAAATTATATATGCATATTCAATCAAACAATAATAACGTATCATTTTGTACGCAGAGTTCCCAATGTTCCTCGCTACATTCTCCTTGTAGCGATATATATATATATATATATGGGTAAGATTTTTTCCAAAGTTAATATTGAAAGTATTTACATATAAAGTTTGCCCTAGTTTCATAAGGAAGAATTTTCTTTCTGTTCTCTCTAAATGTCTGAAGTTATGGAAGTTATCTTGTATACAAGTATAGAGGGTATATCTCTCATTACCTTCGCCAAGAAGGTTATGTTTTCAGTAGCGTTTGTCTCTGTGTGTGTGTGTTTGCTTGTTTGTGTGTGGTTTAGCAAGATAACTCAAGAAGCTGTGAATGGATTGGAATGAAACTTGGTAGGTGGGTGGGTCTTCATGAGACCTAGAAATGATACGATTTTGGGCCCCCTGGCGGCTTTACTAAGTACTGCAACAGAAGTTCCGTTTTTGATATCTGGACATGCTAGGGCCACGAATTTCGGACGGCAGATAGCTCTTGGGATAGGGAAGAAGTGACATGAGTTTGGGTCCCCTATCGGCTTGTTCTGGAACTGCAGGAGCATTGGTTGAAAAAATTTCGAAGGAGGATAAATCAAGAACCGGTTGACGGATTGTCGTGATTTTTGGTATGTAGCTAGTTGAAGCGATGCTTGACATAAACGAATGATAATTATCAGGATCTAATTTGCATAATTAATGAGGAATTGCTATAAATCTGCTTTTTTCGATAATACAACTATGAAACACTTGTGACATCACTTGTGAGAACGACAAAAAATCTGAGGATATAGATTATGTAAATGAGGACCTAATTTGCATAATCAATGGCAAATTTTTTAATATTGCATAGTTGTAGCTGCTGGGAATTTCATACTTGTCACATTTGGAACTTAAGTGAAGGTGAACATCAATAAACATAA